GAGGAAACAGCAAATGGGAAGTTGTACTAAAGTAAGAGATGGTGCTCGGTGTGTGTCATTAGGTCAGGACCCGCTGCTGCACACATTTGCAGCGGGCTGCACTTGGGACATTCGTGCTACAAAAAAAAACTTGACAGAGTGGGTCGTTCGCGTCACAAAGTTTGTCACGGAGTTTGCCATCAACCGGCCCGAGAACATCCAGACGATAGAATGGACCCAATTCTACTAGTACGCAAAGTAGACCGACTATAAACTGATCGGTAAGCCAGTACAAGGCACTCACAACGTATGCATGCAGACGTGTACGATTCTAAGAAAAATGCGTGCACAATGGGGGCGCAGAATGATTATCGATTGATTGAACTTGGTCCTTATAACCGCACAGCTCATCTCGTGCATAAAGTTAGTGAAGTTTTATGGAAACTTGAAACATGGGGACTTCCTAACATAAATACTAGTAACAGATGGTCAATGACAAGATGATTACAGCTTAAAGACGACTAGTCTTCGATGTTATAGCCACGAATGGCATTCTAATTGGTACGACTTATAACAGCTCCCAAGCCACCGCTAGACGATCTCTGTGATTACTGGTTATGATGTTTGATCACTACCATAAGAATGCTAAAATTAACTCGCAAAAATGAGTGTCCACAAGCTTAAAACGACGCCGTCATTGAACGACTGGCTAACTAGTAATTGAAGAGTAAGCCTAACCTCAGATGGATTTGACAGGCAGGAACTCGATGTCGTCAATGCACCATCACCACTGAATGTCTTGTCATTGTAGTAAGTTTTGATGCTGATCTGGAACAGGACGAGTTTACTATTTATTTAATAGTAAATAGAAAAGTAAAGCAGTAAGCCTTCATCTATAAGTACCTTGTTCTGAGGAAAACTCTTTCTTTCGCCTCGCTTTGGACTCAACAGAAAAAATCCGCCCTCATTAACCTGCAACGGGAAAACCCATTAATTACCTAACTCATTTGAGTGACCAGTAAACACTTACGACAACTTCATCCATCGTCATGTTCTCATCAATATAATAGCCATCGTTCTGGAATTTATGTCATTAAATTGACAGCGAGAACCGAAATGACGTCAACTTGGCGCAATGTGTGCAACGGGCACATGCGCGCGAAAATTTCGCATTCAAAAATTGACGACTCGTTACTTACCGCTTCTCTGGCCTTTTTCATGAGCCGTTTCACCGGAAACGTCATACATCCGAGCATTCGCATCCGCCTGACAAATATTAACAGTCACGAATGGTATTTGTTCAATTATTCAAACTGTTTTGAGAGACCATTCAGAACGGTTATTTTTAGCATGGTCACTGATATGCTGAGCTGTAGTCGGTTTATGATAAGCGCCCAGCGCTAAAGTCGTATAATTTTAGGTCAATGAACGTACTGTTGATGATTGTCCGCTTTCAACTTGTAGACGCTTATTGTCAACAGATCACGAAAGTAGTTGTCATCATCGATATAACTAAAACAGTAATTGTTAAGTAATGGCAAACACAAAAAAGGCAATTCGCTCAGAAGTTCTGTACAAATCATTTCAAGGACACTCGTATCAAATATAGGTGGAGCCGACGGAAAACTCCCGCGCGTGATTCGCGTAAAGCGCGCAGGGTATCGATTACTTGATCTGCGTCTCTGACGCCCACTCTGTCTGGCTGCGCTCAAGCCTGTCCGAGTTTGTTCGAATGCCATAATACTATATACTGATTTTTGCAGCCGAAAAAAGCTTGGTACTAATGAAATTAGCGACCTTTGCAATGCTCGAATGAATTCGGCGATGGCGCGGCGAGATAAGATTCAAAATGCTGACTGCAGTTAATCAACAAACAAAGACTAGGGAATTGCGGAACCCAAAGAGCTCGGGCTGGACAGACGGAAATGAATTCAGGACAAGAGCCGAATAAACCGGCCTTTCATTCTCATTAGTTGCTGGCCAGTGAATTGAGGGACATACGAGTTGATACCACACTGCTATCGTCTTACATAAATAGCCCTACACATTCGGCGTGGTCATAAAACGAGTTCACTGCAAACGTTAAAATCAGCTCTACACACGTCAGTTAAGTGGGCGGAATTCAAACACTGAAGTAATTTCCAAACAGACTCGGAGAACTCGAAGGTCCACTTCGCATCGGGAAAATTTTCAAAATCTCACAATGTGAACTTCTCGTTGAAAGCTGGTCGATTTGTGGCCATCCAATTGCGAGTTTTGTAGGATTGAATTTTCTCACGATAATGCCTTTTACGACTGTTTCCACATCGCCGTCTCATTTCCACCTGAAAAATCGAAGCATTCCCAGTTCGAGTGCCTGGTATACTGGTATATAAACAACAGCGACGCCCGTGAAATGTGCCGCAAGGCGCTGTGATTGGTCACGCCAGGAGTCCACCAATAAGAAGTGCGATATGCACGCGCTTCTTACTGTAGGACTCCTGACGCCACCATCACACGTTCCCACGTCAGGCACTCGGACTTGAAGCAATTTTATATATCCTTACTCGAACGTACGAAGAAATCTGTGGTTGATATGGATCTTGGAAATAGACACCCTCATTGATGGTGACATTCAGTTGGTTGCCACATAGTGTCATGCTCAAGAACAAAATTCCTGCAAAAACATTCTCGGTCACAGCATTCGTCATCGATAAAAATTTATCTTCGAGAGTAGTTTACTGGACCGGGGTAAACACACAAAGTCAGCTATTCATGCTTCATGAGTGGGAGGAAAGGCATGCAAGCAATGCAGCAGCATTTGGAGGCCACCTCTCAAATTAACGGAAATTACAAAGCAAAAAAAGTATATCATAGTTGGCTAGATCTAGAAAATTAGAAAGCTTTTTTGTTGGGGAATACGAATGCTCTAGGGGTTTGGTTCCAATCCGTTTCGATAATCTGCCAAAAAAGATTTTTGAAACCAAGGGCCCTACAAGTAAAGTTATTAGAAATGCCTACTGATCATTACGGAATTCAATTTCAAAGTATAATTGCTTTGTTCAAACTGTACTTGCACAAATAGAATGAACTAAACTGTATTCAAAGGCATTCGCTTAAGCAAAGGAAAAGAAAAGGTGGAGAGGCATGGTGTAGTGACAAATGGCGCCGCTACCCCACGCGTGGTGCAGGGATCGAGTTCTTGATGGAGTCCCACCCGAATCCGGCAAGCCTTCCATCACTCCAGTACCGGATTCTGGGTATTAGACATCATCTAAGAAGGTCTCCTCCCTGGAGGTTTGCTTCCGCATGCCAGTATGCAAGCTTACCTAGGCTTCAGGTATGCCATTGACCCGACTGGAATTCGGCTATGTGGCGCATCCAGGGAAAAGAATGTTCAACATGGAGTGTTGAAGAAACTCACAGAATTTGTTGATATTGATTACTGTATAAGATACAATATCGATTGAGGTAGTGGCGGTCCCCCAAGTTCCCCCCTACCGACAGTAACCGCAATTGTGATTCATCTCGATGAACCTAATGACCTATGATTAACAGCCTTGGCCGATTTTACTTGGAAACTTGTTACAACTTTGTCATATACCTTCACTGCCGACATTTTTCGCTACTCCAGTGGGTAAACCAAAATTTTCTGGACGATAGAACATTGGCTTCACATTCTCGACCTGAGAGCGTGATGATATCGGAAATTCACACGAATCCTGCAATTACAAAAGGGTATTACTAGTTATGGATGAACACAAAAGCGGTACCAAACAACACAACAACAACAACAACAACAACAAACGTACTTCGCCGTAGTAACTGCTGGGTCGAGAGGTTCCCTCAATAATCTGATTATAACTGTACATGGGAATACGACCGGCGACGGATGTGCGAGGAGTAGAACTGACGAATTTTGGGACATGATGAGGATTCGTTTTTGGTAGGGAAGATACAAATGGCTGGAAATTTGAATTCGAGTGGTTCTGAAGAGTTCAAAGTACTGGTATTGTGCACAACTGATTAGCGCAGGATTCAAAGACGTCCTGACCTGGAACGATGTGGTCGTTGATGTTTGCTGTGGTCGCCAGTCTCTTTGTAGCCGTAAAGACGGCACAGTTGGTGGCTCGTCGATCGAATCGCCGATAACAGGTGATAATTCCTAGAAAGCCGTGGCTTTTTCTATGGCGTCATCCTAGGGTACAATTACCAATTAGCCTACTTGAGGTATGGTGAAAACTGGTGGGACACGATGTCTGGTTGATTTCTGTACAGGAGTATACAGGTCAGACAGATCATCTTCTTCATTTGTTGACTCCAGCAAAGATGAGAAGTTCGACGGTATCGTCGATAACGAACTGCTATCGGTTGGTTTCAGATGCCCGCGCGGTGGCATACCGTATTGCGACTTTCGGAGCAGCCTAAAAATTATTTATCAGCTTTATCCGAAGAATTTGAATCTTTTCTATTCTTAGCAAGCTTTGGGTTAGTGCACAGAAGTTTCTAAACTCGAACGACTTTGTTTTTGTCAAGTTGTAGTGTAATGAATGAGGGCATAAGGTCCGAAAGGGGCAGGATTGGGTACAAGTCACGTCGGACAGAAGTCACCCAAACTTGCGGTTATAACTATAAACGCTGGGCATAACTACGAACGTTGCTCTAGTTAAACTGTAGCTTTTCATTACTAAGTAAACTACAGTCCTCCAAAACTAAAAAGTTGACTTACTTGCGGCTATAACTATAAACGCTGGGCATAACTACGAAAGTTGCTCTAGTTAAACTGTAGCTTTTCATTACTAAGTAAACTACAGTCCTCCAAAACTAAAAAGTTGACTTGAGACTGAAATTTTGCAGGAATTTTTCATAACATGTTAGAGTCCGACTGAGCCACGATTCGTTGAGTTAAAAGAATTCGGAATATAACTGATGAACATGGAATAAAGGCTTGACTTGGCAAAATTCAAGTAAATTATTGCCTAATACAAATAATCATTAAAGATGGTATGATTTAAATTAAATTCAAGTGCATGGCCTACCCCGTTACACAGACATCGGCGTGTAATTTTGTATTGGTGCGTAGGATATTCCTTATTGGAGGATTTCTGGGAGGACCAATCACAAGTGCTCATTGCGCGTCTAAGACGTCATTGCGCGAAAATCCATGTAGATACTTGGGGGGACTTTATACTCGAAAGAATCAGAGTAGCAAATTATTCCCTTCTGCAGCTAATTATTTTATTACTCCCCCTGACGAGAATTGTAAAATAACAATAATTTATGGTTACCAGTAAATCATGTAGTATAATGATCACTTGCGTTCACCGAGGAGTCAAAGTGACCTGGATGATACGGTTTCACATGAGGCTGAGATAACAATAGCCGCTCAACCTCACACCCTCTTAGTAACGAAGCCCACTTGTGGGATGACCGTTGAGTGGCGGTTTCCCAAGGCTTTTGGCGGTCAAATCAAAATGAAATACTTACTGCTTACAATTTAAGCTCCCTAGTAATCACTGGGAACCTCTGTAACAGTAGCAAACTAGTACCTCTTATCCCTGAGCCATTTATCGTCCGTTCTTGCTTTCGGGAGTTGAAAACGTGGAAGAGATGGTGAATTGTCCGAACTACTATCGGAATCGGATTCTGAACAGATTACTTGTTAAGCTCAGAGGTACTGTAACTAAAAAGTATAAGCGAATTACAGTATACAGGTTGAAAGCATAAATTTACCTGAATATGAATAACGCTCATCTTCATACTTCATTGTATAGCGCTGAAAGCCCTCAGGTCGGGCCATTACAGAAATTTGAACTGAAAAGTAACAAATAGAAGGATACGGTAGAAAAATAAATAAATAAACATGACCACGATAGAAGAATAGTACGACCAGCACCACAATGAGCACGTACCCAATCAATCAACATATCAAGTGGGTCAGTAAGTGTGAGTGTGTGTGGGTAAGGCACGTCATTCATTTCACCGTGGGTGGTCCATGACTACCTTCGCCCAAATCCCATGAGGTGAAGTACCTCGCTGGTGTGGGTTGAGGTATGGTTGGGGGAAAAATAAATCTTCCAGTTAACCGAAACGAAACGATAGCCATCGATATCATAACGGTCATTCCTGACGAGATGGCAGGGGGCGATAAGAAGTCATGAGCGACTTTTTTTCGAGTGCCACCGTGGAGACTCAGAAAAAAGGCGAAATTGACAAAAAATTCAAAAATATTACTGTAGCTTTAGAAGAGTCATCATGGTAATCTAATATGTACAGTGGCGTGGAATGAGGTAGTGTGTCATTACGTAACTACTTCGATTATCCATAGCGATAATCCTTTCGACACTTGCCAAAGGCGTTGATCGAAGAGATTGAGATGTGGCCATAAAAACGTTAATTATGACATTTATTTTATCTAAACCTATTTATTAACCATTACTTGACAATGATTTATTGACGTTACGCTTTTACGGGACCCCTTGAATTAGCCGACTGCATTATTGATTATCATTGGATCACAAGATATCATTGAGTATCCAAGCTTACCCTTCAACTTTACAACTTTTACCCTTTGCTAGGATTTAATCGTCTCAGGACCAGAGAACTTCTCCAGGACCAAATTACGGTATTTCTAGGGGAATTCTCCCGAAATAGGAGGCAAATGAGAAAAATCTAAAATATTCATGAGTACGAATCAGCCCTTGCCTCAAGAAAATCGAGTAAGAAAATCGAACAAAGGGATTTTTCAGAACGACTCATTCAGGGGAGTAAAAAGAAGTACCACTCCGAGTAAACAAGTAAATAAAGGTATTGTGTAATCAATGAAGAGGCCAATGAATAGGAATCAATCGTGAATTCGTTAGCCGTCCATCCCCAGGATCATTGACATACGATCGAAAAACGCTACCCACGATACATTTGAAAAATGAGCAAGTAAAATGGCGAGATTGACATCTCGGAAATGAAATTACACTTTAATAAACAATTTTAGAAGTTACAGGAAAAAATACTAGTCGAGTTTACAGTGGAACAAGTAGGCAACCCAGGCTGTCGGGGTCAGGAAGGATGGCTTCTTTGATCTAACAGTCAGTCACTTCTAGAAATTTAAAATAAGTTTCTGCACATCGCTACTCTTTGAGATTTCTTCATTTTTGGAATTTTTTATCTGATTAACAAATATTTGAGCCTCTTCACCCTCCCCCACCGCCCATGATTTAGACGAAAGAGGAAAAAATTTCGGAACAGTCGTGCTCCTAATCTGGTTGCAAAGTCTCCTGATCATCGGTCATGTCCCCTACGCCCACGCTCCAGGGGTAGGATTTCCAACTTTTTTTTGACGACAAAAAAAATGATGAACTCAGAGGTTGTTAAGGATGGACAAGTGGATTGCTCATGAGCCCAACAGCTTAAATGACAAAATAATAAGGCTATTTGGAAAAAAAAAGTAGAAAGGATTTTCAACAAAAAGTGCGGTTTTAAGCCTTATTTCGGAGAAGCTCCAACAAATTAAAAAATTAAATTTTATATGACAAAAATTAGAAAATCTTGTATTTGTGGTGAAAAAAAATTGTTAGAGAAAAAATAAAGACGAGTCAATGGAGAATTTCAAAAAAGACTTTTTTCAGAAAAGATTGAGCTGAGCAAGTGAATTTCATCATCGCAGTAAATGTACCAACCAAATGTCGGAGGAAATCAAACATATTTTTGGTGCATGGCTTAAAAAAGTCTTTAGTATCGCTGAGACAGAACAATTTATCGAATCACTTCCAGAAAAGTTCGTAACCAGAGAAGTGATATAAAATGATAGTAATACTTGATAATAAAATGAAATACGCAAACAGGATTCAGTTCGAGCACTACGGTCCTATGATCCTAGAAGTCAAGTGAAAATTCAATTTCACTTGAGGAAATTCGATCATTAAGGGAAAAAGAAGTTGAATTTTTGGGGCGGAGAGTACAAAATATTGTGTAAACAAATAAGGGGACCCGGAAAATTGGAACGATCACATTCTCCTGAGTGAGCTACGCAATCCAATCCATACGCGTAATTGTAGGACGATCGGAAAATTCGATACCATAGATTAGCATATAGATTCGGGGCATAATTCACATCGTTAAGCACCCACTTAAGTGGTCGGTGTCACACCCATGGGTTACAGTGACAGCACCGTGTCGAATTACGACGTGGACCTCCTGCTCAGGCTGTAATTTGTTTGTGATCCTGAGATACTTGAGAATGACCACCTTGCCAACATTCTGCTGAATCCTGCTTGGTCTGGTGAAAATCAGTTGAGAAATGGCGCCCAGTGCAGAGGGAAGGGGTGGGTCATGCACCTGACCAATGAGAGTCACTCAAGGAGGGTGCGGTTTCAAAGTACCTGATTGGTCGATTATTTCACCATGGCATGCCTAGCTTCAAAGCATCTGATTGGTCAACTACATCACATTGGTATGCCTGTCTAAGCGGATTTTTTTTCAAGTCACTCAAGAAAAGAAATCAGCATATACAGACATGAACATGAGAACGAGGTGCGGTAGACTGTATGAAACAGTTTTCAAACCAATCTGGCTGAATGCCAGCTGAGTAAACAAATTCAAAACAACGACTATAATTGGGCGGTTGGGAGATGGCAACCGTTGCGCAGCGGGGAAACGCCGTCTAGGAGGTTGCTGTCATATACCTCTGACTANCATGTTCTTGAGCACATCAGCCAGTAACTAGTCAACTTACTGACGACCTTGTCATAAACGTGAACGATCCCCATACGTAAGTACTGATCAAAGGCTTAGCGACCGTTATGACAAGCCAGTAGACGCAACGCAGCGGGTTGCGTCACGATTTACGCGTGTGATGCGAACGCGGCCAGGATCCAAAAACAGGGAATATAGCTATTTACCAAATAATTCGGAACTCTGATGCAAAGTCAACCTGCATAGATCGTTCTTTCATTCATCCTGAGCGAATACGGTATGCAGATAGTACGGTAGGAAAATGCTGACGGCCGTAATTCTACTTTCCCGAACATTCTCAGTAACAAACGTTTCAAAAGGGGTGAAGGCTTCGTGAACCCGATTGGCTACCGTACCCGCCGTGAAGTTTATTGTGAAACGTAACAATAAACAATAACAATAGGACAATAACAATAGGACTTAACAAGATTAAGGGGAATTCATAAGTATTTGAGGTAGTCGTAGAATGATCAACGGATGAAACAGCGGTACCTTTTGGCACAGTTGAGGTTGTGGGCAGAAATTGGGATGGAACTTTTGGAATGCTTAAGACAGCAAGTGGAAAATTCAAATATGGTTTCAAACAAAGTTGATGAACAAACAAGCTGTTGAATATTCCTCCATAGAGTTGGCATTTTACCATAGAATGAGATTTGAAAGAAACGAGGAAACCTGGATGGAGATATAGGTTTTCAGAGTCGAAAATCGGAACGTATAGACAATGTTTCTGTTGAAAACCGGAAGAATGTAAATGAGGAATGAGTTGAATAAACAGAAAACAGGAGATTTTCGGGAAAAAATCTGACCATAAGTCCTTCCAAGCAAGTCCAAGCGATCAATCGATAGAACACTTCTCTACACAGTCAATCCATGAGGAGAAACAGGACAGTACCAGTAATGATGACCGCAGTTATGATACTTAACACAGATACACTTACGATTATTGTAAATGAGTATAGTTCACAACAGAAGTAAATAAGGTTTTGTGAAGTCAAATATGGCCAAATAAATAAATAAATAAATAAATAAATAAATAAATAAATAAATGAACAAATATCGGGTCGAACAGTCGCGTCAGACTTTGAAAGTATCACCGAGGTAGTAACGATGTCTCCCCTCAAAATAAACTGACCGATAGGAGTCAACATCAAAAGAGTGTCCATGATGTAAGCCAACTGGCTTTCTACTTTGTATATTTACCAGGTTAGCAGTTAAGTAACTGCATATATTTCAAAAAAAAAATGCACTTATTTAAAAAAAGCAAATTTATCCAGCTGTATATTGACCACGAAGTGCTCAGGTAAATGGTTGTCAATATAAATCACTAGAACAGGCGGTTGCCTTTTAAGATGGATGTTTGAAATTCAGTTACTTGACATTACTTGACAACCTTATACATGTAATGGAGTTTTGTAACAGTAACTACTTCTTTTCAGGACAAAAGTAGAATGATTCGATTAGAGTAAGTAAATATTACAATACGTATAACCACCATACATTGTGAGGATGGTCATTTTGTCACAGCATGACATCAGTAACGAGGACAGCAATAAGTAAATAAGCTGACTTTGTAGGTCAGATAACAACGTTACCAAAAAGTAGGATTACGATAACGCAACACAATTGGGTAGGGGACCGATTCAAAAATGATGATGGGAAACGGAAAAGATGAGACCACGTTGTCGGACTTTACGGACTCAAATGAATGGCGGCGATTACGCGGTGGCGTCGTCGTGATTGACAGATGTTCAAAAGGGACCACTCATCACGGGTACAGTTATTATGGTCCCTATACACTCGCACATCATTGACACATCCGCCGAACACTTCACTTTCTCGTATATAAAGGCAATTTCTTGGGGGAACCCATGAGAAGTATGAGATGAGAGGCGATGGGAGAACAAGTAGGAGGGAGTCACCTGGAAAGCTTGTAGGCAACCACCCACAATGGCCGAAATCGTCGATAAAAACGGGTTGCACGTTTGAATTAATCGCCCGGGGATAATCTGTCGAGTAGAGCCATAAACCCGGGTTAAGACTGTAACGGACCGGGGCTGGACGGCGGCAGGGGGTTCCCGCCTAGCGGAGCGATTCAAAAACAGATATACCCGTTTGGCGTAGGTTGGCAGTGGGCAGAGAGGTCAGTTAGAGAGTGTACTGGGGGCGGATGGTGCAAGGATGGTGGCTACACAACGAGGGTGCACGTCCAACGGGGAGGTCCAGTGGGTGGGTGACCACTATGCCGTACGTGATGCGTTTGTTCTATTCGTAAGCGAATATCTCGCCGAATACTCAAATCAGATAGCGGTGGTCACTGTACCAACTAGTATTACTGGCTTTGTTTGATACACAACGGAAATGGCGAAAATAATCGGCATAGGGATCATATTAACGTCTAAGATGGTCGGCATACCTCAGAAAGCAAAATTAAAGGTCGAGTAATTTCATTAATTACTAGGTTCAGCAATTATTCCTCACCCCTCTATAAACATCTAACAAAGTGAAAATTCCACTCGGTCAACAATGGGGATCTATTACTGGACAGGACTTTAACAAGTAATTGGGCAAGAAGAATGGATTCTATCATATTCGAAGACAAAATATGTAAGACTGAAGTAAGAAAGGTGCGCCATCTTCAGTGCAGTACTACTTTCAAGAAATTTAAAGAATTTTTCGTGGGGTGGGCAAAATTCAAAAAGAAAATTTCAGGAAGTCTCCAAACTTCCGGAACCACTTATTTTCTTTGTGAAAAACTTTATCATTTTTTCGTGATTACAGGTTACAACAGCGGGAAGAGCCTGTACCTTCAAGTAGATACCTTGAAGGTGGGATAGAAGAAAAAGAGGATAAGCCCGATTCATCTGTTTCTGATAGTTTCGCTACAGTTTGGTTTCATAGAGTTTATATGAAGTTGTTCACGTGATGTTAAAGAAGAAAATGAAAGAAATGGATTTTTAATTTTTTGGCGTTTTCGAATCTGCCTGAGGGTGCGCCATGCTATCTACTTCTGCTCAAATCGTAGAAGCTTTGGAAGGCTACTTAGCTTGTACAATAGGTTGTGAGGGACAGCCTAATCGGAAGTTAGCCATTTTAAAATGCTGGATAACTTTCTTTTCAACTCACGTTCCGAGGAGATGGAGAGCATGGTCTAGATTCAATAACGACTAATCTCAAGGCTAGGATTTGGGGTCATATAACGTCTTCGAGGCAACTGCGAAAGGCAGAGTTGGGTAATGGCTTAGTTCGATCCGAATTGCCAGTCTTATTCGATTTTCCGAAGACTTAAGAGGGGAAACAGAAGAGTAAGTGATGACAAGAACACCCAGCCTTTCGATGTGGTTCCACGAACTTAGTTCGCTGTGGTACTGGTGACATTTGAACGGCCCCTTGCAGTCACTACGGTCGGCTTAGCCTCAACGAAGCTAATCACGATAACGAAGCCATGGCCCTCTGGATTAATCACATTACTAGTTGTGCTTCAGTATGGCTCTTAGCGTGATTGTCTCGTTAAGGTTCAATGAATAACAGCTAATTACGGAACACAGACGACGCATCGCCTGCTGACCATCTGCGTAGCAGAGGCGATCAGGCTGTCAAAACCTTCACACCGAACGCCTCACCTCACGGTTTTTCAGACACGATCGACGTTTTTTTTCAACGACAGCGATGACGAAGAATTCGTCGTCCTTATGGAATCTGGTTTCACAGCAAAGAGAGGCGACGAAAATGAAATGAGGCTCATGCCCTCAGTGGACCAAACGACACAGTTCAGGATCAGATCGGTTCTGCAAACTATGATGGGCCCCAAGTTTCCATAGAAACGATATAACGGGCTTCCACAGACAGGAAAGAGCTAGGAAGGGCACAATAAGGGCCCATCATTAGGACTTGATCCATAGATGTAAAGAACTGGGCCTTTTTCAGGACCTATAGAGGGATTATGAGGTTTTGAGGCCCTTGGAGAAGTTCTAAGCAGTATTGAATGGTGAAAACTCAACGTACTCGTTCGACAGAGGGCCCAAGTTTCCTCCCAGTGAGACTAATAACTTGGTGCTTTTGATTAAAAATTATTTTTCAATTTTAGATTAATTTTTAATTTCGATTTAGTTTTTAATTTTAAGTTTAAAATGTTAGTATTATGAGCTTATTAGGGTTACAGACGAAGACCAAAAGGTTCGCTGTAGAACTTGATAATCAGCTACTTAAGTCGTTTGCCCCATTAGTGGTTCAAAACGTGTCCACTTACTGGTAACTACTTTCCGGCTCCAAACAAGTCACTCCTCAGGACACAAGCATTTCTTGGCCGTAAAAATGTTGCAGTTAACAAATGTATGAAAGACGGTACCACGTTCATCCCCTGACTCGTACTTTGCACCAAATAACCCTTTTATTGCCGGCGCATAGTATGAATCAAGGGTGTAGTAACATTTGAATACAAAAAACAAAAAAAGGCATATATTGACATACTGTGTGTGATGTGTATGTCAACAATACGTGTGACGACAATAATGGCAGGCGGCACAGCACCGGTCACCGTGCACATAAAATAGCGCTGAGGTTAGACGTCTGCCCTGGTCATGGTCCTCAAGACCGCTTAAGAGCGAGCTCACCCCCACTGAACCATTACTCTGTACTGGTAAGCAGTAGTAGGTGGAACTGTAAAGGATAAAATTGTATTCTTGCTCGGTCCTTCGCAAAGTACAAGCGCAACATTTCACAATCCAGAACATTCCAGGAAAATATAGGCTTTTCTGAAATTTTTGCCAGACAATTTCTGTACACTCCAAAAAAAAANAAAAAAAAAAACACCATCATTGACTTAGAGCTGGAAAAAGCATGATTTTATCAACAGAAATACCTTTTTACGGGACCGCCGTCAAAGGTCAAACACCGCAACAGAACAGGGAGACTTTTCAAGAGTGAAGAGATGGATTCGTTTCTGGGAACAGACTGAAATGTCGACAGGTGCCAGTACTGTTCCACAAAACTCTAGTATACACCTTAAGAGCCTGTTTCGTTGCAGTAGTTTCTTTTAAGCTGGAAGCCATGGTTCTTGATCCAAGCCTACCAAATCAGAATTGATCAGCTCTAATCTACTACCCAAATTTCTTTGAGAAAGACCTCTACTTACCCCTTCCCCCACCACACCACTACCATTACTACTCTTATACTAATTTTTTTGGAAAACTTAGAAGAAGCTAAAAATGAGTTTATAAACACAAATATTTTTTTTTCGAAATTCGAAACTAACCAGCTGGCTAAGGAAAAATTGACAGAATCTCCGCGTACGCACGAGATATTGAATCCTATAAAAATTTAATGCAAATCAGGAGAGAAGTAGTTCTTATTAGTTAAACATTCTTATGTAAACTATTACTAATAATTTGAGAAATATTAGCGTCCTAACAAAGTGATTACTGTTCTATCATTTTAAGTATGAAGTTAATCAGTAAACAGGCTCTTCTAGGTTTATCGTACTACATACTTGCGCCACTTAATCGACTTTCTCTCAGAATCCCAACTACGTTGAATTGCATATTCGGCCCGTTCTAAATAAAAGATCGCTGGATCTGCCCAAATACAAGTGGGATCACTGTTTTTTCAGCCAAGCCCGGTATCAAGGGATCCTGAGAAAATGGGACACCATTAAACGGGCATTGCGCGGATTTGAACACCTGGCGACTTGTTTATTAACCGCCGCCGTTCTCACGGGAATCGATAGGTATCCAAGCTGCTATCATCTAAGTTCATATACCAATAGGAACTGTCAGTCAAAAACTGGCTCCGAAGCACCCTTACTACTTACTTAGACAATGTTTTAGGAGCAAGCCAGAGTCTGAGGACCGCTCCACTGTAAGCAATGGCAATGCTAGTTAGTATGACCAATAAAGCTTTCAACCCTACCCACGGGAACCCAAAGTAACACCCCATTCGCATTTAGCAGAAACATTCTATTCATATTCAAAATCTTGGCAATGTTACGGGATTACGTTAAAAACTATTACTCGAAGCACTATTGTGATATAATCATCACCATTATACAAGCAAACACTCAAAGAAAAATAAACTTTTAACCAGTAGCTATAACAAATTAAACTTTGAATAGGTGTAACCACTCGTCTTACAGTAATCAAAATTCAACACGACTAGATGAGCTATTGTAGCGTATTGAAAGATTCACTTGAGCAACGGCGATTTCGCCCGAACGACATCGCTTAGGGAGTAGGAAGGGAGAGTAGGCGGGTAAGAGCAACCTATGGCGGTAATGATAACATATGATAAAGGCGAGTAAAGGAGAATGGCAGAATACAATAATAATCTCCTACAGGCACCAGGATAAATGAAAGGTACGGTATTCGAGTGATGAGTTGCTTAGAGTTAAAATATTTCGCGCGCATGAGTCTACTGCTCCACCAATGATTTGTAAAATTGATCTGATCGATCGATATTGCATAAACTATTAGAAAGGAAACGAGTAATCACATTAAAACAGGCTATCAAAAAGATAGAAAGGGATTACGCTTGTTACGATGAACAATGATGGAGAAATGGATTCAGAAAGGCCATAGATAAATGTCAACACGTGAATTAATGTAGGTCAATGTGTGGATCGATAAACAGGTTAACCGATCATTTTCTCACTCTTGGAGGGCACGATCGAGCGCTGCCTGAATATTGGCAAAGGCGTCACGACCCATGAAATCCGGATGGCCAGCTTCCCATGCTCGGAGTCTTTCTTCATCAGTGGGAGATGGCGTCTGAAATCAAATTAAACTCGAAAATTCACCGAAATTTGGATTATTCGGGATTTCTATTTACTATGTGGTATTAAAGATGATTACGCTTGTTGTAAATTAGGGTTGATGTTATGAATTCAAGACAGCAAGCTGATGGTTAGGGACTAATATCTAATTTCTAATCTAATTGCTGAAAAACGAAAACCGGAAACCGAAACGAATTAGGTCCACGCACACCGGAACGATTTTCCAGTGGGCGGGCAAGTAATTCAAGTTGATGTCAACCTGCAGACCACAAACTCCTCTAACTGAATCTCAAACATTATTAGGCACACATTGAGATGAAACTCGTACATATTTTTATTGGACGTATTGTCCGAGCCGACTGACCACCCAGACAAGAAGTCACCAGGAAAATGACTGTTCCCTGACCGCTGGTGCAGTAAAAGTTCTATGAGCTTTACCCAGACACGTCGCAAACAATCCCGAAGCTCAGCCCGATGTCTCCATGCTGTTTTTTGATGAGGACCAAATCTTTTGCCTATCTGTCTGCTGCAGGTTTTCTATGACCCACCTTTGGATGGACTCCTGCAGATGGGAATGAGCATCCTTCACTCTGTAATTAGAGAGTTAGTATTGAAAAACTACATGCTAATCAAATCACACGTTTAGATAGGTTATATCAATTAAAATCATGCATTCAAAGTGAAAACCCTCCAGCAGAATCCAGCAACACCCACATGGAAAAGTACCAACGGTCATTTCCAGCGACAAACATTTCTCAACATTTATAAAGAAAACTCGAAGTTGGCTTTGGTATTGGAAATGATCGTTATTATCAGTCCCGGTTACCGGTCAATTCGATTGATTTGCTATGGAATATTATTTAAGGAACAGTAAGGGTGCAGCACACTTTAGCCGCTCGAAGGCACAGTTCACGATAAAAATGGTTTCAGAGATTTCCCAGAAGAACGAATCCAGGGCCTCTTCTAAGTATACCCTATGGAGCGTTATCGGATAGAACACGATGGGCGTAGTGAGTTCTCGAGAACAGGCTGCGTTGACGCCCACACCCAAATGAGGACGAGTTTTCAAGGCGTTGTGCAGGCTGCACCATTCACAACAGAGCAAGGCGATAGTGAGAAGCAGTCTAGGGCTTTTTGGCTTACTGAAGACAGCTCTGTATGCAAATGCAACTGCTGGAATCCCGTTCAAATTCTCCCTCCACGCGATTTCCGCCATGGTAATCCGTACACCCTCATCTTTTCAAAGGCTACCAAAAAACAATACTGAACTGTGCCTTCAAGTCCTCACTTGATTATAGTGAATACGGTGTTAAAACTTTGTATCAGTTAATTCAATTAAAAGTGATTTCAAGTACTAGCTCCATACATATAGCTAAGAGGCGCTGCTATCAACCGAGCAAAATAAGCAGACCCACAAGTTCGATCCCTTTCCTGATCCAAGAGCAAAAGGCAACATCCGAGTTGGGAGCCCTTCTCATCAAGGGCAGTTTACATTTCTTGGGATTGAACGGGCACAAAAACTGCGTTTCATTTCTCATAGTTGTACTATAAAAGCTATACTGTTGTAATGGTGTACCAGTAACTTCCTTGAATTCTTCGAATCTAATGAAGGGGTATATGAAAAGGGTATGTATATCCCTTCAACAGATTCATCGAGTTAGAGCAAAAGGAATCGCACTTGTGGATCAAACTTTTTCTCGACGATTTACCAGTTGTATTTGAGGTTCCAGTAAGTAAGAAAAAGCTTTTTAGAAAGGATAGTAGAGGAGTAGAGTAGGCTTTACCACCAAAAACCACAACAACCACTTTCGTTACCCTGTACAACACGTGTAGCTGCGGATTCTACCAGAAAATATTCATCCATGCTATTAGATATGCAGACAAATTTGGTCGTAATGCTAGATACATGTCCTCAAGCACAACTTGCCACTTATTGAAACGTGGCAGAGTGTGTGTGCATTCTGTGATTGGCCGTTTTTCTTTTCAACCAATCAGAGGTCAGCTATGCATCCACCAATCAACGGCCAACAATGCACACACCGCACGTCAAATCTGGTAAGTTCTGTATGTTCCAGTTGAGTAAATGTAAATAGCATTACGGAACAAATTTGTCTTTTCAAACTCACAATAATTGCCGTCACCTCGGCATCGGTAAGGTGACTTGTCGTTTCTTCATCGTCACTAAGGGACTGTTCTACGTACACATGCGAATCTACATCTATACACATCGCACGATCAGAAACCAAATCGCTACCTAAATTCTGCGTAACGTGCTGAAAACATTGCTGATGTTCAGGCTGTTCAGGGACATGATGTGACGTCATCCCATGAGCGTCATGATCATGTCGTGGCTGATGCTCATAGTCAAGCTTTTCAACGTTATGAACATGACTAAATGACGACGACGACGATGATGTGTGGATAGGCTGTGATTGATGATGATGATGTGAATGTGTAGACGGCGGCGTAGATGAGTGTAGGGTTGCCGTCGTCGGGTGAGATGATGAAGGATGTGACGACGACGATCGAGAAGCCGCTTGACAGGATGACGTCGTCTTCAATCAATAACATTGAAACTCAATCTTCAAAAGCGAAACCACACAACAATCATACACAATGCCACTGCAAATCAACCACATGCACATAGAAGGGTAGGAGATACGCTTTGAGATGATTTCCGAGGAAATCATCCACAAGAGAGGAAAGGGATGTGGAAGGACCGCCTCCTGTGGGCGGGCCTTGCGTGCCCCACTGCACAGCTAACACAGCCGTTTCGCCCATTATGGATGACGAACTCGGATATCAATTGTGATAGTCCATTTTCAAGCAAAAATATCGGTAAAATTGTTATAAAGTAAGGAGAGGCTTCGGCTTTGCTTGGAAGCAGACCATCATGGTTGGCAATTGGAACATTTAAGAGACAAATGACGGCTCAAAGGAAAAAATGTTTCGGGACGAGGACGTTGTAAGTATCCTTACATAAGCAGCAACATTCTGCTGATGGATTTGTCTCCACATTTCCAGATGAGCACCTTGAGCTGCTGACGATCCATGCCATGGCTTGTCAGCTCCGATAAAGTGTACTATTTTCGTTGAAGCACCAAACCTGGGATATACTGCATTATGGCGGATCCTTTTACTTGTAAAACTACATTTTCAAGTAAAAGTTACCTCTTAAAAGCAGCTGCATACGTGTAAAATGAGCCGGCTGTCATGTTGTAGATGAACGGCAGCCGGTGGATCGCCGGCAAGTCGCGCCATCCAGCGAAAAACTCATTCAAAAGACCCTGATCACCTCCATCAAATGAGCCATGAGAGATGGCAAATGCCAACAGGCGGCCTAAATATAATTATCGATTGATCCCAGCCTTAATTTTCCTTTCACAAAATTCTACACTTGGGAAGCTTCAAAGTATACCGCCCGCTTATACTCAAGTTTCTATTGAAACACTACGTGTTGGTGGGTAATTGCCAAATATACATTGGACACAACCTCAAACATATTTTTATGTTCAAAAGCCGTTCAGGAAGTCCTATGGAAGATTTATTTGAAACCTTCCAAAGCCATTTACAATCTGAGTGAGAGAGTAAGACATGGCGCATTCCCAACCAGGAAGGGGGTAAGCCAGAAGCCTTTTACTTTTTGGTGGAACTTCCAGTGTGACAAACAGAGGTTAGACGCCAACATGAATTGGGAATGGTTTGAACATTTAGCCGCTCCGGAATAAGCCATGACATCTTCTCCCATTCCCAATCGTCGAAACGATTGAAAGGGTGTGTTGACCTATGAACTCTTCTCAGCCACTATTACGTAACGGATATTTCTAGCCCTCTCTCTTGAGCAATTCATTCTTTCATCTGTGGTCTCGAAAGTTTCAGGGACCTCTCATTACAGGTCTGGTTGCTCACTTTTGATAAAAGCGTGTGTGGCTGTGTGTTCGTGTAGGTACTGTAATAAATTTTCTTTGAATACCAATTCCAATATCTTACGATAGGTTTCGAGGCTTGGTACGTAAACGAAAACACCGCTGTTGAAGCAATCTGGCCATCCAATGTCGGCAGCAGCTGAGAATTCGGGTCGTTCAAACAGCTCGTCAGCATTTTGCAGTACCTGAAAATTATGACAAACAAGTTACCGTAGTCAATGGCCTAGAAAATTCGATAACATTGTCGTAACCACTTTAAAAACACCAAACACAACGTGAAAGAGGTATTCGATTCGAACTTGACGTGTCTCTGCGTCAGATGACACTTTGTAGGCAAAAAATGCATATCGATTGGGTCACTTCGGCGACGAGACAGCGAAATATTTAGCTTCGCTTTTTAAAACTACAAAGTTTGTTCAAGATTATCTACTGCAACACTACTTCTTTCGAATTGTCGTGCTATTTACTGTTCGAACCCTACTCCACACTCTGTAAGTTCACTTTTTCAATGGTTAAGCTAGAATTTCGTGGAACAAGTTCAGGGATGACGTCATCGGGACCCAATGCAATGTGTAGCACCCGACGGTAAGCATAGGCATATCTTATCAATGTTTACTTAACTAATTACTCCGACCGCATGCATCAACACATTAGTTGTCGGCACGGTCTTTGATCTTTACATTTAAATTTGACCTAAGAACTACTATGATTTCTCGCTGCAAACAAGTCAAATCCATCCAGTGAACACAGTAATATCCGCTCCTCCAGAAAATCCTGCTTTACAACAGTCGCAGGAGCTCATAAAAAAAGTCATTAGCCAGCTAAACACCACCGCCATCGTCTCGAACAATCGATGGCAGAATCCTGTTCTAAAAATTTGTACAGGGCTGTTGAAAATGTGAGGAAAACACTCAAGGTAGGCGTCTACCGCCGCATAGCGGCTGTTATTCATTGGAAAACCATAGCCATTTAATGGACCCATCACCCGTCAAACTATTTACACTGCGATCATTGAAAGCTAATCATAGCGAACCGCGTCAAGTGAGAAAATATCTTTTTTTATTTTTAGCGAGCTTGAAATCGAAACGCTGCTGTGGAAATCAAGACGGGACGCGAGCAGTCGCGTCGCGCTGTTAACACCGTGACGCAGTGTCACAACGACGGCCGTCCAATAGGAGATCTTTATTCTTTCTGGTCAATTATGCCCTATTTCAGCCAACGTATCCTCCGAAACTAAATGAAGACCAGTAATTTTACCTACCATCGTATCGGCGTCTAAAAATACGGCCTTTGTGTATTGCGTCAATCGCCAGCAGTGAAGTTTTGTGAATGTGACACCAAGATCGGGTCGATTTATCAGGGCAAGATTTTCCTAAAAAGCTAATCAAATAAAATTTAGATAGAAACTTCATATCCATACTGATATACTTATCATCTTCTTTAGCCAGNATAACATGAGGTGCTTCACAATGATCGACCAATAAAAACCGCCGACGCAAAGTGAGCGGCCTGTGGGCACCCGATTGGCCAAACGTTTTCCAATTTCGCAAGCAGTCGATCACGAATAGAATCTCGGGACTGATTTGTCTACACCTAACATTCCCTGTGCACCCCGAAAAGCTTCTGTGCTGCCCTTCTGAGAGGGTCAGCGTTGACAGACCTGATAGCGGAAACCTTCCCGAAAAACTCTTCAATACGTCTAAACCCACCAAAAAAATTGCGTTGCGAAAAGGACATAGAGAAACTCACGTTTGAAAGCGTATCAGCTGCATTATATGATAACAAGTAATGCGGTACAAAGTAAATGCACTTTAAAAAGTATGAATACCTGATCGTTGCTGTCCAATACATTTACGTATGTCACTTCATCGAACTGGGCTGCTAATTCAGAGCGAAGGCCAGGAGACACCTGAAAGTCGATCGATAGCTACTAAAACAACACGGCTATCAAACTTTCAGAGACAAATTTTCACTATGCCTTCTATGAGATCAAATAATCGCTGGAAAATCCTGTCTTAGAGCAGAAAATAGTGACCTGAGAGTTATAAAATCCTCCTGGAACAGAAAAAAAACTCTTGCTGTTTTGAAACGGGAAATTCCAAGGTTCCAGCATTCCCCATTCGCCCCAGAAGCATGGTTTATGATCTCTGATCATGTTTGTTGTTTCACTGATAGCCTTGTGCTTGGTGTAAACTCCAGAGAAGCGTCACCAAGTAATCAATTTTCCCAAAAACCGCAATTTTTCCCGCTTCAAAAGAAAAAATTGACCCAAAATATTTCTGAATTTGGACATACCGCTTCTGTAAGCATACAGTGAAGTTTCTTGGTCGTTCCAGCAGCTTTAAGTGAATGCGCTAAGACGAGCGCTCCTTGAGCGTAGCCATCGTGGGTGGCAAGTGTAACCCAGGCCTCGGACATTTCGACTAAAACAATACTTTGTTACTGAAGTAAACGAAAAGGCAATGGTGGACCAGAGGAAAGACGATGATGTTGTGTGAAAAGCCGGGATACATTTATGCATAGCATGTGGTGAGTGAAGTGTTGGCTGCTTGGCCACTATTTAACAGCCGCGCTGCTGCCATTCACTGCCACCAACGCCATTTTGTCCGAGGATTTTCATCCTCCAACTCAACGATTCAAAATAGATCTATTGTCTCATCGAATTTCAACATAGAGGAGAATAACTAAAAGGCTACAATGTAGTAATGCAGAAATAGAAAGTAACAACATGAGCCAGACAAGCAGCAGCGGCAGCAAATGGCCGTAAAGTTTTTTTCTAGTCGTGGTGAGGTCGAATATCAGCACAGCGACCTACAAGGTATTGCACTTATGATTGCGGAGCAAATATTACGATGAGAATGCGATAAGAAATACACGTTCTACATCTCATATATGAAAGTTGGACGATGGCGGATAAGGTGGTCGCGAGACGAAAGTGAAGGCAACTGAGATGATGGATAGTAGATCGAATATGCCGGGCAAAATCCCAGTTCACCGCAACCCACCACAACCATCCTCTCAGCCTCAATCAGAGTGAGCGGCAAGAGGTGAGCATGAGATGCGGTAACGACCTTGCATCCGAGAAATAACAGGAACAAGACGTGTAAAGTTTTTCAGAACGTATAATCGTGGGCCGTAGGAAAAAGCGCGCGCCACCCGCATTGACACGATCAATAATCCCGCCATAAAGAGCCACGAATTCCAAAGATCAAAAATATTTTCGTGTGGGTGGTCCGAAATGGTTGATTGGGGTCGGTCACGAATCAGTGAGAAGAAGCTACAGTTCAATGAATTATTTGTTGAGCTTATCGGAAAAGGTCATAAAAGTTCAAATTGTTGAACAGGACGCCCTGCAACTTTCAGAAGTTTGTGATAACGACGTTTTTTGTCGACACTCCCCCTGCACTCTCCCCTAACCCCTTCCTTCGGCTCTCGCTTCTCAAAGACTCCTCAAATCAGTTGCCCGGTCTAACCTGGGATCGCTCAAGAGCCTTAGGAGACCTGGAAATGGATGAGTGGGTGGCTATGCCACCACAGGCCGGGGTGCGGGAGGAAGGTTCGGTCTTTAGCGGGACTAAAAGTGGACACAGGTGACTTTCATGACATTTGACTGACAACTCCGTTTAGTAGCAAGTAAAAAAGGGAAACTTGTCATCATAATGTGGTAGAACTAGTACCCGACACCAGTAAGCATCTCTACTTTACTTTTCAAAATGTAAAAAGGCTAAGTAAATCCAGCGCAATACCGATCAATACTGATCAGTAATGCCCAGATCAATTAGTTAGGTTGAGGTTCAGGGGTAGTTGAGCATTGCGCCAAGCCAACGGACGGCGCCATTACCCGCCTACAGCTTTCGATTTCAACGAGGTGTAACTAGTCCTGCTAAAGTACCTCAGCAAACAGAACATATGGATTACAGCAGCAGCCGTTCCCGTCTCCCCCACGTTTATAGCCCCCCACATATGCTTTAACTCCTGACTTGTTGCAGTTTTTTTTTTCGGGATGGCACATGAGCATGTGTTCATCCGATGAAACATCACCTACGTTATCCCACTGAAAACTGGCTACTAAATCCGGTTCATCATGGGATGGAAGTGATAGCGGCTGATCGGAAAAGCTGTAACTTACTCGATTGACGTGATGAAAAATTGTTTTCTAGTGGATCATTAATCCCTAAAAGTGGGTGGGGCATGATGCAAATGGATGGCCAATAAAAGACCGAGTAGCGACAGGAGCGGGGGCCACCTCAGGACGTCATTGGTGGATTATTTCGCAGTCGGCAAATGTTATATTTGTGGAACTACTTTCAATAATTTATTATAAAACTGAATGTTTAAATAAAGGAACTAGTAAGTAGCAGTAACATAGCTAGGCACGCCTGAGGGAGAGGATTTGAAACTTGAGAAGCTGTTTTCACAAAGCTTTTCTGCTAGGGTAAATCGATACTGCGTTCAAGAGATCAGTGCTTTCTGTTGTGGTTGGAGTTTAAAAGTTTTCAGATGAAGGACCTGAAAGTTCTTCAAAAACCCAAACAATGAGAT